AGGAAGGGAATGAGAGTGAAGGAAGAAATGATTGCAGAAAGGATGAGAGCTGAGCGTCTGAAAAGAAAGGGATTGAACATAAATGTTGACAACAATGGTCCCATGCTATCATTGTGCAAGACGTTTCTTGACACGGGCGGGTCTTGCTAGTCACACTCGCCATCGCCATGGGCTGTGAGTCTCATGCCCCCTCGTAGCGCAATATAACACTATCGTCTGGAAAGACGGAAAGGTGCCAATCAAAAATTTTTTTAAAGTACATAAGAGACTAGTGCAGTGAGATTTCCTTTATTATTATTATTAATATTATTATTTGAAAAGCAAGTATATATAATTATTATTTAAAAAACACAACAGTATAAAAAGTTGGTTGCGTACCCTTTACAGGACGGCACAAAACCAACCCCAGCATTTCTTGGCTGTTGTGGTATTTCTAGACAAATTCACGTCCAGTAGTTTGCCATTGCTTACTAAACAGTCGGCGTCTCGATACCACTGTAGAAACCAACGCAAAGCTGGCAGCCGGGAGCGAACCCGGCACCCCAGCATTATGAAGCGCATTCGCAACGCCTAAGCCACAGACGTATAAACAAAAATATATAAAAAGCGAACTTCTATACGTACTTAGTGAGGCCACTCACGCCTTTCAAATTTTCTGTGGTGTAGCATGCAGCACAGCTTTCCTCTCAAACTATACTTCCAGCCCTTCTTGCTGTCTGTTCTATGGAGCCTCGCTTGTTTCAGCTAGTCGCCTATCCTTCTCTGGGCCTCCTAAATCAACCCAGCATTGATTGGCTGTTGTCTGGTTTGGGCTGCAATCTTGCATTGCAGAGGTTTCATTCATACATTGCTCTGTTATGTCGTTGTGTGTCACACAGGCCTGGCAGTCTATTTCCGCGTTCCGTAATATTATGTGCAATCCTTTCTATATCATGGATGGAGACCAGTTCAACCTGTTTGGACCTTTTTTTATTGTTTACGTTTATGAGTTTTTTGTGGATGTCCTCTCTTTCTCAATCTATTTAATTCCATCTTTAATGCTTGTCTGGTGATTCTCTGTTTGTTTCTTCTCATGATGTGTCCAATATAGCGCCATCTTCTTTGTCCTATAACTGTTGTTACTACTGGTTGTCCAGATATTTCTCTTATTTCTTCACCCTTTTTGAATTCACCTCCATGTTGTTGTTGTTGTTTTGTTTTTTTTTCGACAGTAAAAAAACACAAATGTATTACTGACACAATGTGGATTTATTGAACCTAACTTTTACAGGGAGATCTTTTAAAGTCTCATAGACCTACAGGAGATCCCCACTATCTTGACATCGAATGGGGCCAGTTAGTAAACGGTATTATATCATGTACACTAAAATGTTTCGGCATATTAAACGTCAAAAAGGGGTTTAAAAGAACAGTCAGGGCGGTGTCACTCTTGGAAGAAAAGGCCGGGGGCGACCGGTACGATTGTAAACATGATGTCATTGACACTCTGGACGTGACAGTGAACATGATGTCATTGACACTCTGTACGTGACAGTGAACATGATGTCATTGACACTCTGTACGTGACAGTGAACATGATGTCATTGACACCCGGGGCGTGACAGTGAACATGCTGCCATAGACACTCTGGACGTGACATTGAACATTATGTCATTGACACTCTGGACGTGATAGTAAACATGATGTCATTGACACTCTGGACATGACAGTGAACATGATGACATTGCCACTCAGGACGTGACAGTGAACATGATGGCATTGCCACTCAGGACGTGCAGTGAACATGAAGGCATTGCCACTCTTGACCCCTCTGCCTACCCCCGGGAGTAAACCCGGACCACAAGGAGTTCGTCACCCGGTCTCCGCGCAATCCGGTTTAGCCAACTACGCTAGAAAGTCGGGCGAATCAGGTTATAAGATGTGATACAACAAATTATTTTAAATTTTGATCGTTTATTGAGAACGAAACAATGTCAATTCAAGCACGATGATAATTTAATTTACATAATGATGACGAACACTTCGGTATTAGTTGCTTCACAGTTCCAGCACTGAGCAAAGATATCTTTCTCCTAACGGAGCTTATGTGTGTTCTTATTTTAAATACATCTCATTTACTTCTATAAATTCTGATAGTAACTATTTCCTAGTTCGCTTGGCCATCTGGTTAAACTCCTCGGCCATCAGTAAACAGCTATAAGTGACAAGCTACAGTTCTTCCTCTTGACCTGTCGGCTCAACACCTGACCCCTGGCTGTTTGTCTGCCCGCGTCCTCTCTCTCTCTCTCTCTCTCTCTCTCTCTCTCTCTCTCTCTCTGTCTCTCTCTCTCTGTTTGTCTGTCTCTCACTCTCTCTCTCTCTTTATCTATCTATCTATCTATCTATCTATCTATCTATCTATCTATCTATCTATCTATCTATCTATCTATCTATCTATCTATCTATCTATCTATCTATCTATCTATCTATCTATCTATCTATCTATCTATCTATCTATCTATCTATCTATCTATCTATCTATCTATCTATCTATCTATCTATCTATCTATCTATCTATCTATCTATCTATCTATCTATCTATCTATCTATCTATCTATCTATCTATCTATCTATCTATCTATCTATCTATCTATCTATCTATCTATCTATCTATCTATCTATCTATCTATCTATCTATCTATCTATCTATCTATCTATCTATCTATCTATCTATCTATCTATCTATCTATCTATCTATCTATCTATCTATCTATCTATCCATCTATCTATCTATCTATCTCACCCCCCCCCCTCTGCTTTCTCTCTGTCTCATTCCTTCTCAAAATGTGGGCTATTTGTAACATCCCTGTCACCCGTCACCCAGACCTTTCTCCGCTACCGTAGATTCTCTGGTCTGTCGTCTCGTTTAATCTACCGGAAAGATTAACAGGCTTCTGCTGTCTGTCCTTTGATTGGTGTATTCTGACCGCGCTTCAACTGTCATACAATAATTATTGGCAAGGGAGATCCTGGTTTTGCCTCGGTGCTAACCTGCATCTTCTCTCCTCATTGCACACATCCTTCAGTGTCAGTTTTAGTAATCTTCGGTTGTTGGCTTTCAACTTTCCTACACAGGCCTATACACCAAGTACTCCTAAAGTCGTGGAAAAAATTCCATGAAAAGGGTAATTTGCTTTTTTTTTAAAATTTTTATCAGTCAGTAAATGTCCGTTAAAGTGTGTGTGTCAGTGAGTGTGTGTGAGTGCTGGGTCTGCGTCAGTGCGGTGCTGTTTTCGCAAAATGAGATGATCTACTTGAGTGAACATGTTTTTAATGGCGTGTACAAAAGGATATTGGCTAGAAACTTTTAATAGAGACCAGCGAATATTTGAGACAGAAATAAAAGTAAGGAAACAAATGTACACGATGAACTGATTTCAAGAACAGGGGCGTTTCCAGTTCCTTTTGTAGATGAGATGGGCACTGTGGTGGTCGTTTCTGAAGGTATGATGCATCCTTGTACGAAATACCTGTCTAGTGACTGGCTACTGCTGCAATATCCGGTAAAGAAAAGACTGCTGTTGTGTTTGGAGAACCAGGTGTCTAGTTCCTGGGATCTCTGACATGGACAAGACAATGCGGGGATACCCTCGATATTAATGTGCAGGGTAGGATTGGACAAATCACTCAGAGCGACGGGGATTTCCGTTAAATTGGTGAACCCGATATAAAAATAGTCAAGTGACACGAGGCCAGAAAACCCTCTCGCTGAAATGGTTTTGATTGGGTTGTTATTCAAATACAATTTAGTTAGTCGGGTCAAGTTAGCGAAAGTTGCATTTGGGATGGTTGTGATTTGATTGTGGGACAAATCTAAACGATATAAGTTTGTCAAGCCAAGGACAACAGTGGCTATTGAAGTTAAATTATTGGCTGCAAGGGATAAGCTGGATAAAGATGGAGGTAACAACCCTTCATTGGGATTGGAAATGTTGTTATTTTCAAGGTCAAGTGTGGTCAGGTTTTTTAAGCTTGAGAAGTTAAAAGTGTGTTCTAGCCCGACTGAATTTAAACTCAATGATGAGAGTTTAGACAAAGAAGGGATGGCTAATAATTTGTTTATCTCCGAACTGTTCATCTTATTTCCACTCAGGTCAAGTTTGTCTAGGTTGTCAAGAGATAACAACCCTGGTGGTAAAGCTGTCAACCCGACGCTTGCCAATGATAGCTCTCTCAGTGTACTTCTGACAGAACTGAGAAAGGTATCCGGAACAATTATTCGATTGTTCTCACTCAAATCCAGAATTCTAAGCACAGAAAAGTTGGAAAGCCAATCAACATTTCCAGTGATTCCCACATTTTTCAAATGGAGTTCTGTCAGTTTGATTCCAATGTGTTGTAGTACGGCAAGATCCAGCTTTTGTATGGGGGAACCATCAATGTAGAGTATAGACAGATTTGTTAATTTGAGAAGCGCAGCAGGCAATGCTGTCAAATTTGCTTGTGTTATCTCAATAAAATAGAGACTGTCGGCGGAGTTGTCTAAGGAGTTATTGTCTATTTGTACCAGCGGTTGGTTGCTGAAGTAAAGTTCTTGAAGACCTTGTGGCAGGCTGTTCTTAGTCACAGTTGTAATGTTGCCACGCTGAAAGAGGAAGAAGAAGAAAACCAACTGAGTATATCATAGAAAATGGTTGTGTGGGCATTTAAAGTTTAGTGTCACTGAAAGGGTGGACACAGGCGTGGTTTTGGCAATTGTGATAATGGATTGGGAGCAACTCACCATCACCGTCGCCCGAGTGGCTTGTTGGTCCGCGGGTCGGAAAGATGTTAGGGTCTGGTGATAGCATCAACACCGCAAGATATAACAATATAACCGACAGCCCCCCCCCCCCCCCCACACACCCCCCCTCCCACCCCCACCAGGGGATGGGGCTGTTTGTTGAACATAGTCAGATTTGTTGTATTTTTTCTTTTAATCAACGAACTTGAAACTTAGGCACAGCTCATGAAATATAACTAGAATGTTTTTGCACTGGAACCCACAGGGGCATATAAATAAAGGTAGACCAAATATACAGGAGAAGGGAACTAGAGAGTTAAAAAGATGGGAGGACGTGGGGTGAGGTGCATGTAATAGCGAAGGATACAACAACTCGTTCGTTGATAGTTGGTTGAGGGCCTATGCTCCATTGGGGATTGACTTGGGAGAAGAAAAAGGAGACAAGATAAACGATAGACCCCCCCCCTCCCTCCCCCCTCCCCCGCCATCTCTTTTTTTTTCAGTTTACCCAAGGTGGTTAGGATGCTTGAATGCTTTCCTTGTTTCGGGTTGTATTTTGTCTATTGTTTTTAGTGTTCACGTTTGTCACATATAATACATTGATGATGTTTTTTTAACTGTACTGTATACTACATGAATTCCAAAAAAAACGAAAATTCAAGAGTTCTTGTTAATAAAAACAATCATGCAAAATGGGAACTTAAGATGCATTATGAATAATATATCTTTGATGAGATACGAATTGTGGTTATGAAAACCAAGTGTTCGTCCTTAGCCAGCTCGTTTAAACGCTCGCCTGCGGATTATAAGATCATGGGTTCGAGTTCTGACGTTAGAGCATTTTTTTTTCTTCAAAAATAGTCCTGGCTTCCAGATCGACCTACTCTTGAATGGATACCACGTGGAGTCCTGGGAAGTAAAGACGGCCGGCGTGGTGTTGAAGACATTACACACGAATTACGAATTAATCTATAAAATATAGGTTGAGCCCTATATGCCTAGTACGTCAGAAGAGGAGGAACATGGGTCCTTTACTTATTTACTTACAGCTCGTTTTAATAGGTTCGACTAATTATGTTAAACTGTTCTCCTTGCTTTTGCTCCCTAAAATATTGGCAATCTCTAAGTTTGATATCTCTAATTTCCTTCGATTTTCAGATTCTCAGGGGTTATTTTTTTTTTTTTTTTTAAATCTGCTACATTTTGTAATTTTACTCATCGTGTGCTTTTCTTATTGAGAAAAACTTGAACTGACCCAGTGGCTACCCGGAAGTCGACTATTTGGAGTATTCCTTCGAAGTCGGAGTGCATCTGCCTGAGATGCAATAAACCAACAGTCTTCACAGAAATGAGTCAGATCTGTAAAATTGACATGCATGCAACACTTAGATTCTAGACCAGGACTACAGTCCAAGAGTTGACGAACAACCAGTATACTCAGTTGGAGTTTACAGCCGCTGAATGTGATGAGCAAGATGTAATTCTACGATGTAAGAAAACTAAAATACACCCTCCCCCCTCTCTCCCACCACCCACAGGATTCTATAGCATTTAAGACATCAGACATACAGACAAGACAGCTGTCTGTTTCAGAGTCTGTCTTTTGGTTGAGAAAAGTTGTAAACTTACAACGAAAGACGCAGTCTTGATGCGGGTCACATTAGTTCCTGTGATCACTGGGGGAATGTCTCTCAACCCGCTACATTCGACAAAATCACCAGCGCATTGACATGTCTGAAAGTAACCAATACGTCAAGGTGAGCATTTTTTCATTATTATTATTATTATCATCATCATCATCATTACCATCACCATTATATTATAATTATCATAATCATCATCATCCTAATTATATTATTATTATTATTTGTTAGCGGTTGTAAACTTCAGCAGAAAATTCTGGTTGTTCATTCACTTCTGGACTTTGGTCTTGTTCCAGAACTTGAGTATTGTGTGCACATCCGTCTTACAGATCTGCCTTATTTGTAGAAGACTGTTGGTACCTCGCCTCTAAGCCAGATGCACTCCGACTTCAAAGGAAACATCCGTAATTAGTCGACTTGCACGACACGCTTGTTATGGGGGCAGTGGGTCTTTTTTTTTATTTTCTCTTAAACTGGGGTCCCGAAACCCACACAGGGAAAGAATGATAACAACCATCATCGTGTGCTGTGTCGGGCGACATGGGCGATGGTGTCCCTGAGTTTGCATGGGGCGGTATGCATTTTCCCGTTCTGTCTTTGGAAATATTACCAGGAGATACCCCCCATCTTTTCCTCGGCGTTACTCTCGTCACACTGTCCAAACGGATCCGAAATTCGTGAGTTCAGGTCCTGTTGTGGTTTACAGCTTAGCTGTAATATCTGCGCTTTTTAGCCCAAAACTCTCTTTTCTTTTTTAAACAATTCCTTAATTAGTCGCCTTTATGTCCCGTCTTTCTAAAGAGCAATAGAACCATAATCCCCCCCCCCCCCCACTTTCCACGCTCTTCCCCCTTTTAATGGGGCCCCGGAACCCACACAGAAAGCAGAAGGTTATAATTCATCGTTAGAAAAGGGCTGGAGATAATCACTACGTTGATGAGAGAGCAACAACAACAACAATGTTGTAATGATGGGAAAACCGTGACGGTTGTCTTGTCTCACCTCTGCCTTGTAAGGACAAATCTGCGCGGTCGAGTGCACGACACAGGCCACGCCAATACACATGAGCACTAGAAGGTTTCTGGTCAATTCCATTCTCTTCTTAGATTCTGGTGTTGGTCAGTTGGCTTGTTTCAAATGAGGCCTCATTTGAAGTATCACACATCATTTTTATTTTTAGATTTATTTCAACAACAAATGCATCTGTCTGTTTATCTACCCGTTATTTTATCATTCTATCCATATTTCTGCCTGTCTGTTTCTTTGTCTGTTGGGTTTGTCTGTCCACCAATTGTCTATCTCTGGCCTCGCTGTCTATCTATCTATCTATCTATCTAATCTATCTATCTATCTATCTATCTATCTATCTATCTATCTATCTATCTATCTATCTATCTATCTATCTATCTATCTATCTATCTATCTATCTATCTATCTATCTATCTATCTATCTATCTATCTATCTATCTATCTATCTATCTATCTATCTATCTATCTATCTATCTATCTATCTATCTATCTATCTATCTATCTATCTATCTATCTATCTATCTATCTATCTATCTATCTATCTATCTATCTATCTATCTATCTATCTATCTATCTATCTATCTATCTATCTATCTATCTATCTATCTATCTATCTGCCTGCCAGCCTGCCAGCCTGCCTGTCTGTCTGTTTGTCTGTCTGTCTGTCTGTCTGTCTGTCTGTCTGCCTGCCTGTCTGTCTGTCTGTCTGTCTGTCTGTCTGTCTGTCTGTCTGTCTGTCTGTCTGTCTGTCTGTCTGTCTGTCTGTCTGTCTGTCTGTCTGTCTGTCTGTCTGTCTGTCTGTCTGTCTGCCAGTCTGTCTGTCTGTCTGTCTGTCTGTCCGTCTTTCTATATTTTTTGTCTTTTTGTTGGGAAAAAAACATGCCTATGTCTATATCCTTCCTAGAATAAAACCCAAAACATGATCTCGTTCAATCTGCTGCTGGCAGCTTCCAGCAGTCTCTGGTTATACTTGTGGTCTGATTTATTTGCGCCAAGTGTTTGGCTAAGAGAGTGGTTATGTGTGCCATTATGATGGTTTTATGTCCCTAATCAAGTAGATAATCTGCTACTACTTGTCTGTGAACCATTGTGATCCTGTTATCGTTAGTTTCCTGATGGTTTTGCCTCGTTGGTTATCCTCTTTCCGGTTAAGTGTAGTCGATGATTTTGCCCCTGTTTTCTCTACTGTGGTCCTGCTTTTGTTCCGTCCACACACACAAACTGTCCATTTGTGTAACTGCTATATTTGGGGTCCCAAATGTGATGTGTTTTCAGTGAATATAGCCAGTCGTAGACTGAGAGTTAGTCCTTCCAGTGTGTGCAGGCAAACTGTTTTCAGTAAATCTAGCCAATCGTGGACAATTATACAAAGAGAGTTAGTCCTTCCAGCGTGAGCAGACAAACTGTTTTCAGTAAATCCAGCCAATCGTGGACAATTATACAAAGAGAGTTAGTCCTTTCAGCGTGAGCAGACAAACTGTTTTCAGTAAATCCAGCCAATCGTGGACAATTATACAAAGAGAGTTAGTCCTTCCAGCGTGAGCAGAAAAACTATTTTCAGTAAATCCAGCCAATCGTGGACAATTATACAAAGAGAGTTAGTCCTTCCAACGTGAGCAGAAAAACTATTTTCAGTAAATCCAGCCAATCGTGGACAATTATACAAAGAGAGTTAGTCCTTCCAGCGTGAGCAGACAAACTGTTTTCAGTAAATCCAGCCAATCGTGGACAATTATACAAAGAGAGTTAGTCCTTTCAGCGTGAGCAGACAAACTGTTTTCAGTAAATCCAGCCAATCGTGGACAATTATACAAAGAGAGTTAGTCCTTCCAGCGTGAGAAGACAAACTGTTTTCAGTAAATCCAGCCAATCGTGGACAATTATACAAAGAGAGTTAGTCCCTTCAGCGTGAGCAGACAAACTGTTTTCAGTAAATCCAGCCAATCGTGGACAATTATACAAAGAGAGTTAGTTTCTCCAGTGTGAGCAGACAAACTGTTTTCAGTAATTTAGCCAATCGTGGACAATTATACAAAGAGAGTTAGTTTCTCCAGTGTGAGCAGACAAACTGTTTTCAGTAAATCCAGCCAATCGTGGACAATTATACAAAGAGAGTTAGTCCCTCCAGCGTGAACAGACATGCATTATTTAAAAGAGAGAGAGAATAAAAAGAAACTACTATATATATATTAGTTAGTTAGTTAGATAGTTAGTCTTTCCTCTTGTGTCGAGTGCGGCACATAGGGCAGAGGTCATGACTCTCCATGCATGGCGGTTCGTTGTAATCCGTTGTAAGTCTTGGATGTTTAAGTGGCCCATGAGCGAGCCTTCCCTGATGATAGTTCTACGTAGGGTTTCCCTTGGTATATATATATATATATATATATATATATATATATATATACTGTATTGTGTCCGTGTTAAGTGTTGATGAAGTGTTTCTAGAATGCTTCTTAACACGTTGGCAGCAACATCTCCCCACTGGAGGTTAGATCGGTAAAGTAGACGTCGACGACCTAAGGTAAGTAAGTAAGAAAAGGACCCTTTTCACGCCTTTAGGCGTATAGGGCATATAGGGCTAGACCTATATTTTTACAGACCAGTCGGCACAAGAGGGGTGATATGGTCAGCATCACGCCAGCCGCCTTTACTTTCCCCGGATTGCACCCGGTACGACGACCTAAGGAAACCTGTAGAAAGTCAGCAGTAATGGAAATGGCAGTGTAAACTGAGAGAACAATGACGGTCTCTTGTAGATACTGTGTGTGAGTGTGTGTGTGTGTGTGTGTGTGTGTGTGTGTGTGTCAGAAAGATATAAGGAGGAAATAGATAAACAATTATTTTGGCAGTCTAAAAAATTATGGTATTCAGGATCAACTGTTGGATAACATCATGGCTTCTTATCAAGATAGTCAGTGCACAATAAGAACTACAGAAGGAACGACAAGTCTGGCTTCCCATTTGATCAGGTGTCATACAAGGATGTAACCTCTACATATTGCTATTCATTACTTAATTAATAAAAATACACAGGAGGCAAATAAAAACATTTAAGCAATCAAAGAACTTCATTTTGCAGACGATCAATGTCCAATACACTAACAAGAACAGAATTTACAACACCATATTTACTCCTTAAATCAAACCTGCACAAAATTTAAATTTGATATGATAACAAACATAACGAAAGCTAAGGTAATGAGGATAAGCAAGAAACATAATATCATGAACGTTCATGTCAACGCTACTACAAACCAAGCAAGTAATAGAATTAGAGTATCTAGGAAGCATATTTACGGAGAATGCCAAGCTCGATAGAGAGAATGAAGCCACAGTTCAGAAGACAAATGCTGTCACCTACTAGCTAGCCCGACTGTCAAGACACCCAAATGTATCCCTTCCAGCAAAACAGCAAATGATCAATAGTATCTGTCAGTGCCAAACATGGACAATAAAGGGGGCAATAGAACAGAAAAAAACTACATGTGAAATGCGCTGTCTCCGCAAGGTCGCTAACAACACAAGAAGAGACAGGGTTACGAATACCAGCATTAGAGAGAAAGAATGAAACCATGTCTGGATTATATTGGTAGACACAGAATGAAACAGTTCAGCCATCTAGAGAGAATACAACCAGATTAAAATATCTGAGAGGAAGGCGTGGGGAAAGACCAAGGAAGAGACGGATGAATGTTGAAGCTGAAACCAGCGAAAAAAGCTCAACAAATCCATCACCCAGCAAGATACCCGAGAAGTGCAAACCAAATTCAGAACCACGAACCTGGGTTAGAACATGGTATCAGTGAGACGACAAAAGAAAAAAAAAGAATTTTAATGCGACAATATTTCCCTTACCTGATCCGCTAACGTTCCTTGGCCATATCTTAGAATCCAGCATGTTTTATATGGATGAGAAAACGGGAAACACACGAGCGTCATTGCCTGTTTTATCAGCCGAACTGTGTCCACAGCAACGATCTATGGTCCGTTAAATATGTGTTACACACAGGCCACTTTAGCAGGCAATACAGGGATGACTGTGACGTTGGATATATTTCCAATGACTTTTCTAAAACTGTAATTTAAACATTTAAAAAAACGTAAGGCCTTCATAGTAGCAAGTACTGATATTCTCTGTCATCCCTGCTTTTGTCATCTAGTGCCTCAGACGTTGCAAGTACTGATATTCTCTGTCGTCCCTGCTTTTGTCATCTACTGTCACAGACGTAGCAAGTACTGATACTCTCCACCGTCCTTGCTTTTGTCATCTAGTGTCACAGACGTAGCAAGTACTGATACTCTCTGTCGTCCCTGCTTTTTTCATCTAGTGTCACAGACGTAGCAAGTACTGATACTCTCTGCCGTCCCTGCTTTTGTCATCTACTGTCACAGACGTAGCAAGTACTGATACTCTCTGCCGTCCCTGCTTTTGTCATCTAGTGTCACAGACGTAGCAAGTACTGTAATTCTCTGCAGTCCCTGCTGTAATGAAATATGGTTACGAAGGGGTTAAATGAATAAAGCATACATTTCAGACCAGCATCAAGGCCCCCCAATCCATCATTGGTTGGCATGACAGAAAACGGTGATTAGAAAGCTGGCCCGACCAGCGATACAGATAAACAACTAATCTTTGGGAAAGTACGTAGGAACATCTGCACGGTGACCAGTGTTGAACAGAGTACGGTTATCAAAACAAAACCATGACATCTGACAGTGTAGGATGAAAACGTATGAGGAGACCCAAAAGATGTACGAGAGAGAAGGAGGTAGACGAGTGCCCGAGAGCAGCGCGGGATGCACGTGTCCAACTGAAGATGATAACATGGTGGATGAAGGGTGAGAGGGGGGGGGGGGTTGAGAACCCACGCGGAGAGAGTTAGGGAGCGGGGGGATGAAGGGATCTGAGCAAGGAGGAGACAAGTCAGTTAGTGCCTAGCCGCTAGGAGGGCAGTTGAGAAAACATTCGTTAGAAGATATGTTGAACTTTGAGTTTAACTAGAACAGTGATTAAAGAACTCATAGAGAGACATGTGAATAGCCAGTAATAAGATACTAGAATGTTA